CATGGCTTTCTTGACCCAGGCAAATCCCCCACCCCAGAGAAAACCCCCTCCCCTGCAACGTCTGTGATGCTTGCCATGGTTCTACACCACTAGCAGCCGGGGGTGGGTGGGAGGGAGGGATTTCCCTTAAGTCTACCCAACTGGATTTCTTGGTCTCTGTCCTCTGGTTCTTCCACCACGGCGGGAGCCTACCAAAACTGCCCTACCCCCTTCCTGTTTTTCTTCCTGGCTCTCTGGTGTGCCAGGACGGTGCTGGCAAATCTACCTTTTGCTGGTGCGGACAGAACCCCTGGCCCAAGAGGCAACAGCCCCAAGGACCTCGCCACCCCCAGGCTCTCTCCCCTTCAACCTCAGCTGTCATTTCATCTAGAGGCCCCCACCCACCCCCAGCACGATCTTCATGCGCACCCTCTTAACGCCAACTTCAGTGCATCATCTAAATTTGCTCTCCCGACACCTCTCCCCAACCTCCACACCCTGAAGCCCCAGAGGGGAAGTGGCCTGTTCCCCCTGCACCCCCTTTCTCTTCCCCTCCTCCTCCTCCTCCTCTTCCACTGCCATGTTACGCTCGTTGGCGGAAGCAACATTCCCCAGGCACGGGGCTGATCCTATGGCTTTCGATCCAGTTAAAAAACCCTTGATGTCTCTAACCCTGTTCAAACTGCCGCTTTAAAACGGAGTGACCCCACCCGCGGTCCAAGTGAGTAACAGAGCCATTGGGACAAGGTGCATGTCTTAGTAATCTCTTGGTGCATCAAAATGTGGGGTGTTTCTGCTTTGGCTTTTCCTAATAATGCAGTCTTGGTCCATCACGTATAAATCTATATCCTCCTGCAGCAGGGGAGGACCGCATGCTTTACCAAAGGACTGAGAACTTCGTGAAACTGGGGGGAGGGGGGGCTTGTATTTTGTTATCTCACGCCCAGAGGGTCCTTTACAGGCACTCAGTTTGCAGGCTCTGCTACTGTCAAAACACGATGTTGCATTTACATTATGTGGAAGAGGGACTCCTGTTTGAAACATAGAACCGGGGGGGGGGGGTTTGTATTTTGTTATCTCACGCCCAGAGGATCCTTTACAGGCACTCATTTTTGCAGGCTCCGCTACTGTCAAAACACAATGATGTTGCATTTATATATGTGGAAAAGGGACTCCTGTTTGAAACATAGAACTGGACACTTGGCGGAAAGAACCTGGCCTTTTCTAGGGTCAAAGGCTCACTTTGGGGTGAGATCTTTCATGCGTTTGCACTCCTACAGAAAAGAGTAGCATTGGTTTATAATGGCCTCCCTTCATCTTCTGCCCTTGGAGCAGACTGGGCTCCCCAGGCGAGAGTAGAGAGCAAAGCTGTGTTTTTTTGTTTGTTTTTTGAGATCTGGAGGTGGTTGGATGGAGTTGAGTGTTCCTGCCCAACACTGCAGAGCAGATGTTCACTGACCCCCGTGCTCTGCTCATGCTGGAGTCCTGCTGGCTGTTTCCTCTTCCTCTCTCTCTCCCCCCCCACTTCCTCACAGGTGTTTCACCTGCTGCAACGTGGCTATGTGAAGCCAGCGCTGTGGGGTGGGACCGTGGTGGGATGCCCCATTGTTTTATAACGGCTTAATACTTTGCCTGTTTGCACTGTGATGAAAGCAGGTTAAAAGCACCTTTCTGGAAGATAAACATTGACTGGAGGAAAGGATCTCCCATCATTGGAAAAGTGGTTTTTCAAGTGGGCCTTAAAGAGGATTAGCTGTGACGCAGTAGCTAAAAGTAGCTTTTCTCTTCAAAACTGGTTTCTGTGGGTAGACCAGCCAGTGTGGGAGAAGGGGCCTAGGAAGGCTGAAAGGTTTCTGTTTTGGACCTCCGGGAGGCTCCTAGGCACGCAGATCCTGGTCCCAAGAATGCCACCGGGTTGCCCAAGTTATAACACCAAACTCTAATTAAGGGTTACAAGAGAGCCCCTAAGCAAACCTTGGGCTCACAGGCTTTGGCTATGCCCCAGCCTTGAGGAAGCATGAAGCAGAATGCCTCCCAGTGTCGATTAATGCCAGTTTACGCTTTCATCTGAACCTACACACTGTGGTGAAGGTTAACTACGGTTATTGGAAACAAACCAGCTTTAAACCATAGTTTATCAAGTTGCTTGTCTTCTATTAACCATAGTTACAATAGTCAGGTTCAGGGTGGTAAGCCGAAAGTGTAATTAACCTAAATTGGAAATTAAAACTTCCCCTTTCCTTGCAATTGGATGGGTGGGTGAGAGGGTGGGAGCGAGGGACCATGCCATCTTTGTGCATCTGACCTCGGGTTTAGGCTTAACACTCCAGGGCAGTAACTTGGTGGACGTTCAGTCTAACATCCCCTTCCCGGCCCTGCCACCTCTGCCCACTGCTGTCCCCATGGTGGACTGAGGACTCTCCCTGGAAATGTATAATGTCTGGTTGTTGTAATTTTGAATATTGTAATACTGTAATTGTTTAGCAGTTGTGAAGTTAATATATAGATACACAGACAGACATAATCTTTTTTTAAAATAAAAAAGATAAATCTTGAGATGGGGTGGGAAATAAAATGTGTCTGACATAACAGGAATTTCCCGCTTGATTTTTTAAATATAGATTTGGGAGTTTCATTTCCATACCTAGGGAAAGGATATTATCAGCAAACTTTAGATTGCAGTGTTACTAAGTTTTTGGAGAACATTTCAGTTCTCAGTTGGAATTTCTTTGCTCTGGCACTGAAGTTCCACTCGAGCCTGTAGGGAGGTGGCTTGGTAGGGTTTCCTTTGCATTCACCGTAGCCACGAACGCTCTATCACAACTGCCCAACGAGGGCAGGCGCCCTAAGATGCGATAAAGGGCTTGCACTCCAAAAACAGAGGAACGGACCAAAAACCCAAGCCAGGTGACTCACTGGGGCATTGCTCCTTTGGACCGGTAGAGGGCTCTGTTAGCCCAAGGACGCAACGGCCTCCAGAATAAGCCCTGTAAGGCACGCCTAGGAGTGTATGAGCACAGATAACAGTTTTGCACCCCTGGAGGCTGGAAGTCTTCCTATTTGGGAAGCCTAACCCTCAAATGTCCCCCCCCCCTCAACGGCCATCCAGGGCAATCCCAAAGAAATATGGAGCAGAGAAATGTCTCTTCCTGGCACCTTTGCAGAAGTTATCCTATTCTGTAGAGCCAGGCTACCCTTGGTACTGAATTTCTTTTGAAAGTCAGTCCAGCCCACACAATTAGGATCTGAAATCTGCATTTCATTTCATTTCCTTGGAAGAGAGAGTAAGAAAAGTGACAGCAAGGAGGGAGAGCTTATTTAAAAGGAAATATTTAGAACTGCCTGACGGCACGTGTTTATCACGGGCGCGTGAAGCAGCTCCTTTCTCTGCAGCACATGTGCAACATCGATGTATCCATGCTTTCACGTGCGGACTTGCATCTCATGACACCAGGAAGCCCGCATGGAGTGGGAGGAAATGCTCAGGACGGGGGTTTGCCCAGCACTGATGCAGAAGAGCGTTCTAGTGACATTTTGCACAAACAGACCCGAGACTACAGAACTGGATCAGAGGGAGCGGAAGAGTGCAGGGGGGAGCAGGGGGGAGCAGTCCTCTGCTTGCACCCTTCTTGCTAGGCAGGGATAGGACATCAGTTCATGGAACCACCAGTCTGTGACTGCTGAGCCCTCATACCGCAAGGAGAAAAGGTGTGTGGGGAGAGTTATGCCTGCTGAGTTGTCCCTTCCTGCACCCACAGACCTCGGCGAGGCTGGCCCCAGTGGCTGGTTGGCAGCCAGCCAGCAGGAGAGAGAAGGCAACTCGATTTGCATCGGGGTGTGTGTGTGTGTTTCTCTTGTGAGGTGCCACAGTCTCTTTCCACCAGAGGAGGAGCACCTGCCTGGGATCCTTCAGTGCATCTCTGGTGCTTCTCTGGAGGGAAGGATGGAAGAGCCCATGAACGGAAAGGATCCACCAGAGGAGGAGCACCTGCCTGGGATCATTCAGTGCATTTCTGGTGCTGCCCCATTGAACGGACAAGGATGGAAGAGCCCATGAATGGAAAGGACGTACAACTCCAGGGATGTTGAGGGAGAAAGGACTCGCTTTTTCTCCCAAGGAAAAGAACCTCATAAAGCCAGCTGCTGTTCATCATCGTGGAGATGATGCTCCTCAAAAGGCATAGGAGCCATTTTTGGTTTTTGGAAATGAATTCTGCTGATGCAGAAAGACGCTTTCTTCTGGAGGGTCTTATAAGGCCTCAGCATCAACTTTTTTAATCCTTTTCTTTCTGCTTCCTCAGCCTCATTACGACCCTCTTAAACCAAATCATCTTCATCAGTGGCTAAGAAATACAGTGGTCCTCGTAGCATCTCTTACGATATTTCCAGTTTCTGGTGGTGGTTGATTTGGCCCTGGCACGCCTGCGGTGGGGCGTCCAGATGGCGCACACGCAGAAGCACCCTTCCACTGCAGGTGCTCCGTGGCATTTGGGAGCATCTGGAGTCAGGATCGGAGCAGGTCCCTCAAAAGCTTGGCATCCAGGGAGTTCTCGTCTAAACAGATGGCATCACGTCCCACAGAGATGTTCCTCCTGCACAGGTGCTCTGCCACCTTGCAAAGTGGCTGGATTACAGCGAGGGCTTTGGCACAGAACAGTGTTTGTAAACAAACACTCTTCTGCACAAGTGTACTATTTATACAGATTTTGTGTATGCTCTCCTTTTCTTGCAGCAGCCACTTTGCAAGGCGACAGAGCACCTGTGCAGAAGGAACATCTCTGTGGGACGTGATGCCATCTGTTTAGAGGAGAATTCCCTGGATGCCAAGCTTTCGATGGACCCGTTCCAGTCCTGACCCCAGAAATTATCACTGCAGGGAACAGAGACCCATGTCCTGCTCTGAGTTTGGGTTTATTTTTTTCAAAAAGGTTTTACTCTAGTTTTTATGGATAGGCAGCTGCTCAAACACAGTTTCCCTGGGGAGAGGGGAGAGGGCTGCCTATGAAAGCTGTCTCTTCCTGTGCGTGTTCTTGATTTTCCACTGAGAGGAGAGGGCTAAAATTACCTCCCGGGCCCTGGCCCAATTTCCTGCCAACGTCCTCTTGACACCTCCGTCGCTCCTGGGGTTCCCACCACGTTTCTTAGCAGAGCCGCTGCGCTTTTAGCAAGGGGGGGGGACAGCACCGGTCCTCTCACCTCTGTCAGGTCTCAGCTGCTGTGCAACAGGTGCTGCAGGCCAGGTCTGGGCTGCCCCGGTTGAACCTCTACCTGCCCCCCTCCAGGGATTCAAGGAACCGAGACTGAGGGATGGTTCTGGCTGGTAACGGTTCACATGGCCATTAGTGTGGATATGTTTGTGCGCAAGTGTCTCTGTGTGTGAGAGAGCGAGACATTAACTGCATCACCGAGGGCTTAATTATGGATTTATCTCAATGAGTGTCTCTGGGCCATGAAAATTAAGCCCCTTTCATAGCATGAGCGGAATTGCATAATCATCAAATGCCCTCCGGGGATTAATTTTGCAGAGGGCCGGAGAGAATAATCTGCCCTCTCCCAGTCTTCAGGATCAAACACACCAGCCCTGATTGCTTACAGGCAGGGACCTGAGAGCAGCTGGTGAGGAGCTAAACTTAATGGAACTTCCACATTCAGTGGCAGTCTACATGGAGGGCCAGCTCCTATGAGGAAATTAAGGGTTGTCACTTCCATCCTCTCTCAGCTTGGCAGATGTGTCTGGCCCGTGGAAACAGGACTCTGGTCTAGAAGTGCCTGCGGTCTCACCCAGTTGGGGTCCCTCTGGCACTGATTTTGAGCACAGCCAGGGTAGCTTCTCTTACACCTTAGAACGATAGCAGCTGACAGTATGCCATTGGGCAAACGTGGGACTTCCAGATGGCTCTCAAGCTGGACCACACCAAAGGCCTGCCTTGTCCAGGATTCTGCTTGCAGGCTCCCCCCCCACACACACACACACATGCAAGCACGCCCCTCCAGCGCCCGCGGGAGCCCCACCAGCTCGAGAGGTGGGAAGCGACATCCTCCACCCACCGTACTCTAGGACACTGCCTTTAGGGTGGAGAGGATCCTGCCGGGGCCGTATCATAACCCTTGCAGGTGAGGTGCGAGCTTGGGGAGTTGCATACCTGACTGCAGAGCCAAAGGTCACGAGTTCAGTTTCCCATCGTGACCCCTGGGAGAAAAGCCAGCCTGCGTAACCTTTGGGGGAAGCCGTACGGGAGCCCCAGGATGGCCCTCGGACACAGGAAAGGGTCAGCCATCTCAGGGCACCCTAAAGGCAGAAAAACCCTTGCCCATGCCTTCCACCCAGGTCTCAAATCTCCCCGGAACACTCTCCAGGTTGGCAGCTGGAGCTGCTTTTTCTGGGCGTGACTTCCATCGGCCACTCACCTGCACCACAGCCTGCCATATGCTTTCTTTTCTTGACTTCTGCTGTACTTTGTCGGGAACATGCCCTGGGCTTTCAGTTCTGCGAGGCTGCTTCCCCGGACTCGCCCTTTCTGTCACCAGAAAAGGATGCCTTTGCCAAAACCATGCCCTCCGGCCGGCTACTCTCCTCCTCCTCCTCCTCCTCCTCCTCCTTTTGCTGGGATTCTGTGGGGATGACGGAGGGCCACACAGACGCTTTCCTGGGTAGAAGCTGCCGGCCAGCCAGGGTGGATGGGGAAAGCCGGCTGCAGGACCTCTCCAGCCTGGAGGAGGTTAAATGAGCCAGCAGCTCGATTTGGTAACCAGGAGGTTCATGGGATCCCTTATAAAGAGCTTTCTCTGAGCGACAGACGCACCGATTCATGCACAGGCGTCCCCTCCTGCAGACGCAGCCCTTGCTCCTCAGCGGCAGCGGCGCGGCTGTGGCGGCTGCTGCCACCCGATTCACCCTCTTTTTGAGCTCAGAGAGTGGTCGTTTATCACCGGTCCCCAGCCTTTCTGGCCCGCCTCCTGCCTCCTCCAGCGGCTGAACTGGGGTCCTGAGTCAGAGGAGAATCATCCGCTTGCCGCTGGTGCCACCCACCCCGTCCTGCCTGCTTCGCTGGAAGGGCAGACAGAAGGCACGATGGAGCTGGGAGGACCTGCCACCCCGGAGGACGGGAGAAGCGGCAAAGTCGCCAACGGGGAAGGGCAGCCGAAGCCCCAGCCGCGGGATGATGCCAAGGCCTTCTATGACAACCTGTCTCCCAAAAAGAAGCCCAAATCAGTAAGAAGCGTTCCTTTTTCCTTCTCTTCTTTAGGAGGAGGGCCACTGGCTTCCCTGCCAGGTGGGGCAGCTGGGGCCTTTGCTTGTGTGCTTGTTCTTTAGGAGGAGGGCCACTGGCTTCCCTGGCCTTTGCTTGTGTGCTTGTGGTTTTCTGTTTGTTTGTTTGTTGTTTGTTTGTTTGTTTTTGCATGCTAGAGTATTTATATGCACATAGACTTGTTTGTTTGTTTGTTTGTTTTTGCATGCCAGAGTATTTATATGCACATAGATAGTGCGTCTATTAGGAGGATGGTAACTCCAGCCAGGGGCAGAAAAGGAACAGCATCCTTTTGAACAGAAATGTTGAGGACCTGTTGCTTCATCTGTCCAACAGAATAGCTATCTCTGCAGATGTGACAGGTACACCCCCCCTCCTCCGTGGGCATCAGGGGGAGGGAGGACCCCTGGCTTGAAAGAGGAGGAGACCGACACCCATACTCCCCAGAGAGAATGCTCCAGAGGGAGGCTGCTGGGTCTCCAGTTAAAGCATGTGAGGCTTGGGAGAGATGATGGAAGGATCACAGGCCCAAGTCAGGAGGTGGGGGGGGGAGAGATGCTGGATAGAGAGAGATGCTGGATACCCACTGCTGCTGCTCACCACAGACAACCGAGGCCAGACACCTTCATAATACATGGCAGCGTCTTGGTGAATCAAACATGTGCCTTGTAGCGTCACCCAGATAACTGGTATTTAGCCAGGAAGGTTATTTGTCTTGGAAGCCGGTGTTGCTGCTTATGTGGAAGAAGCCCAGAGTGCGTGCAAGTTAAAAGCAGTGAAGGAAGGCTGTTCAGATACGAAAGCGCCATGTGCCAAGGTCATGATCTTATTATTAAGCTAAGGACTGTAGCTATGCACAAAATCCTGGAAGTGTTGTCCCCCCCCCCATCTGTTACGGCTGCATTGCCAGTGATGTCCACCAGCTAGAGAGAGATATACTGTACACAGGCACCTGTCAATCATGGGGCTGCCCTACCTGCGCACAGGTAGGCACAGGAAGCATTGGGTGCTAATCTCTCTCTCGCTCGCTCTCAAAACCTCAGAGAGGTGTGTGGCTGCCTCAGTTATCGCCCCACTGCTGCCAAAAACTAAGGGAACAGCTTGTTTTTTGCAATGGGTAACTGTTCCTGTTTCTTTTGGCACCCGGTGACAGCCCGGATCATGGCTCTGGGGGCTGGGGTGAATGGCTTTCTGAGGCCAGCCCTGCTAGGAGGCAGGGTCAGAGTGCTGCCTTAGGCAATGCAATCTGTGCCATAGTAAACGGCTTATTATCACTATTACTGGATGCATTAATATGCAAAGCTTGGAAGTAGCACCTTAATACTGTATTAAAATCATCACTTTTGCACAAAAGACCAGGAGGAGGAGGCCAGAGGGTCAAACCGGAGGAGGACGATGGGTGCGTCTCCTCTTTCACAAACATTCCTTCTGAACACATTGCTTTTAGAAGATTTAGTATATCAATTTGCTTGCCCTCCTGTTTCACAGAGAAGTAGCAGTTTTCGATGTTGATAAGCTAATACCAACATGTGATTCCACCCCCCCCAATGATGTTTGTATTATGTAGCAGATTTTTTTCACTGATGAGAAAGACCATATGCTTCCTCAATGACCAAAATGGCTTGATGTGTCCTCTCACAGCTGAAGGCGACTGAGATGGTGCCCACACACACACACACACACACACACCCTCTGCCTGGCTGCCTGCCTGCCCTGCTGTAAATATTCTGACAGGCCCATGGGCATAACCCACCATCTTTCTCCTCATCCTTTCCCCTCCTGCCCGGCTTTTGGCACACGGACATGAGAAAAGCCTGACACGTGTACAGAGACGTCCTTCACCCTGAGCCCTGGGCACGGCACGAGATGGGCAGCCAAACGTCACATTTCCCTCAAACCCGAAACAAATCAGACTCCCTTCTCTTCTGGTGGCTCTTGCCCAGAAATGTCTCTTCCTGCCTTGGGGACCGGGAGACGCCGATGATTCAGCCGTCGCTCTGAGACCCGGCCACCTCAACCAAGAGCGCCTGTGGAAACCAGCGAACCGAGGAGGATTTACACAAGGGGACTTGACCTTTACGGGCTACGCCACAATCTGCACTGGTCCTTCATACCTAGGAGTCGCCGGTTCACAATGCCTGTAGATACTCCCAGATCACCTTGTTGGCCCTTTCGTCCTTGGAGCGCAAGAAACAAGCAATCGGTATGCATACTGATGTATGACGATCTATTCTGCGGTCTGTTTCGCAGAGACCATCCCTGTTTCCTCTGTTGCACTGAGAGCAATTTCACCAGGCACAAGATTCCAGCGGCATAGAACCGGCCACCATCTACAACGCTGCGCTGAACCTGGGTAGGGGGTATAAACACGAAATAACGGATATCGTGCCTCTGGTGAAACGAGCCCTAGTCCATGAAACGTTGTGCTTCAATAAATGGGTTCGGCTTTAGGTTGTCACAGGATGCTTCCTACATTTCCAGAGGGTCCTTGCAATACCAGTTGGGGGGTCAGAATGCACAGGCATTGCCTCTGTTTCTCTTGAACAGACAGTCTATAGCAAGGGAAAAGATGGGAGAAGCGAGGAATGCTTGAGGGAGGGCCGTGGCCGTCTTCTGGTTTTGTCCTGGAAAATGATCCTGCTAATACAGATGTTTCCTGGGAAGGGGTCCAAGTTTGCTGGGAGCACGAGCCACCCTCTTTGGTCCAGGGATATGGAAGGAGCAGACGGTGAAAGAGACCAGCCACAAGAGATGAGAAGACACAACAAGAAACCACCTTTGATTCTGAATTGGTCTTGAAACGCAAGGGGATGTGCCCAAAGCAGGACAGCCGCAGTGTGGACATTTTCACCTCCGGAGAGAGTTCAGGCTTGGTTTGCTCTAGGACCACCCAGTTGGCAGTCCAGGGTATCCACAAAGCTCTCCCCTAGCACCCCATCTCAAACGCAACAGTTTTCTTTCCCTGTCAACCTTTAGGAAAGTCCAGCTTCACTTACAGGTGTCGGGGTTTTTTTCCTGAGGGGGAGGGGGCGGTTCCTGGGACCATGCAAAGCTTTGACCAGAACCTGCATGTATTCCCCCCCCCCAATCATGCTCCTCCCCTCGGCTCCTCCGAGATCTCTGCTGGCTCTAATCCCTCCACTCTATTCAGGGAGGGAGAAAAGGTTCCAGCTGGACCCGAGAACTGACCTAGTTTCATTGTCTCCCCCCAGCATCAGGACTGCTGGGTTTCTCAGGCAAACAGCCCCTTCCTCCTCCTCCTCCTCCTCTGCCTTACCCTCCAAGCCAGGGGCTGCTTTCCAGATCCAGACCTCTCATTAGCATTTCCTGACCTTGCACAACCTTGGCTGTTGCCAGGAAAAGACACAGGACTGGTTCGGAGGCGGCAGGACCTTTCCGAACACGGAAGGTTGCCCTAGAGAAGGTTTCTCTTTAGACATTCCTTGAGGGAGCTCGGCTGCCCAGGAAACCCCCCTGGGGAAAGGAACAGGGTTTCTAGGCATCCGTGCACACACCAAACTTGAGATTTAGCCCACCCACCCCCCTGGCCACAGCAAGGATCAAGGGTGGAGAGAGAGAGAGAGAGAGAGAGAGCAGGTGAAGAGGCTTCAGTTCCAATCCTGGCTCATGGGCGGCATTCCCTGGGTGACTGTGGGCAGCAGCTGCCTGACCTACCTCGCAGGAAGATTGTAAGGAGAAAGACCACCTTGAACTCATTGGAAGGAAAGGCAGACTGTAAATGCAAACAAATACATCAGAAACAAAGGGTCTGCTCATGGGTCTTGGGGTGTGTTATGTGCGTGCGCACGTGCATGCCAGCCGGTTCCTGGGCACGCAGAGTCTCCAGCTGTGAGAGGTGCTGAACCATCAAAAGGCAGGATACGGCTCGGAAGGCCACCTGAGGCCCTGCTGTGGCCCCGGCTTTTCTTCCCCCTGAGAAGCCTTGTGGTCCTGGAAGGAACACCAGCCAACCCGGGGGCAGCAGAGGCACAGGCCACACGTACACACACAGACGCAGGCGACAAAAATAGCTCCAGAAGTCGTTTCTGGGAACAGCCACTGTGGCCCAAGAACTTGCCAGAGCAACTGGACAAATCTGCCCCCCCCCAAACCAGGCAACCTTCTGTGTTGGAAGGAGTGGGGGGGAGCCCAAGTGCCAGGGGTGGCTTTTTTAAAAACAACAACAACAACTAAATGCGTACCGCTTCTGGATCCAAAGGCAGGGAGCCAAATCCACCTCCAACTCTGACTTCTGCAGGTCAGAAGACCATGTTATACATGCCAGGTATATCGCCAGGCGCAGACGAGGAAACCTCCGGCTTATAGCAATCTGACGAATGAGCGATCTCCAAAGTAGCCGGCCTGCAACAGCCCCCCCTGCTCAGCAATGGTAAATTCAGTCCTGTGGTTTCCTTTAGAAAGTCAATTCATCTCATATTGGGTCTCCCTCTTTTCCTGCTGCCTTCCATCTTTCCCAGCATTATTGCCTTCTCCAGGGAGTCCTGTCTTCTCCTGATGTGGCCAAAGTACAACAGCCTCGGTTTCATCATTGTTTTTTGTTTTTTGTTTTTTTACTTTAAGAGATTGTTCAGGAAAGCTATGCCTGTTGCAGTTTAACATGTTTAAATTAGTGTGATTTTAATTATTTGTGATTTTAAAATATATTTTTTTGTAAGCCACCTTGGGGAATTAGTGTGATTTTAATTATTTGTGATTTAAAAAAAAATTTGTAAGCCACCTTGGGCCCCTGCGAGGTGAGAAAGGTGAGATATGGCATTAATTTATCCACTCATACAGGCATACCTAGTTAGAATGGAGCTTATGTCAGCTCTAGAACCCACTGAATTACAGGGTCTTGTTCTTAACAGCACGTTTTCGGTTGTCTCTGCCCATGCTTTGCTTCCGGGCTTTGCATCCACGCGCCTCCCTGCTTCTCTTTGAGCTGCGGTGGACCCTTGAAATGCCAACGCTGAAGGGGAAACCCAGAGTGAAGGGACTGGCCTGTCCCTGCCCTGATTGGTCGCAAAACCAAATAGCTGCGCTGCTGCCCTCCAACATTCAGAGATGGATCTCTTTTTTTTGGGGGGGGGAGTCTGAGAAAGGACCCACCTCCCTTTCTAACCACAGGTCTCACTGGCTTTTTTGCAGCGTGGAAAAACACCCCTTCCCCATGGAATTTCACGGATGTTATGTCGGGATAAAGTGTGCATCATTAGGATGATGAAACATCAAGCGGTATGTCCTGTCTCTATGCCCCAGCCAGGAGCTTCGCGAGACTCCCTTCCTGGTCTGGTTTCCGTCCTAGATATCAGGCTTGGAATGTGGCAGGGTAGCAGTGGGTGTGTCTTCTTTTGCGACCAATCGGGGCAGAGAGGGTGTGGCCTTCCCTTCTATTGCAGTGGGATTTCCCCTTCAGTGGGTTCCAGCTTGTGCTTCCAGCACCTCTGCAGTTCAAGATGGCACAAGGTGGGGGTGGGGGTGAGGGCAGGGATGCCGATCAGCCTGGCAGCAAAACCTGCCAATCAAGAGAAGTCCTATCATGAAATTCAGGGGACTGAGGCAGAATAGAGTGTGCAGTCTGGATTTCCCCCAATAAGCCTGTGTTATTGCCCTAATCTTTGGTTCTGCTCACCTATGGGCACTGGAGCCAGCGTGTTTCTCTAAAAGATTGGGGAAACCAACAAGGATGAGGAAAACAGAGGGATCAGAGAGGGGGACTGTGCGGCTCCCGGCTCTACCTGCCAACAGGAACAGGAGCCAGAATTGCACTGACCAGAGCAGCTGCTTCCCGTGCAGGAAAAACAGGATCCAATCCCCAATTTCACCACTGCAACTGGAAGAGACGTTTGCCAGAACAGGAGGCCCTGCAGGACCAGCAGCAGATGACTCAGGAGTTATAAAAAATGCAGATAATCCCAATGCAAGGCTGCTGCTGGTGGTGGTGCCATATGGCTGATGCCACAGCATGGAAAAGGACATGAAAGGAACGGTCCTGTCCTCCTCCTAAGACGAGTATCTGCACCGGGCTGGGTGTGCGGGAGAGTGCCGCTTTGTCCAAGGCGGTGGCGATAGACCCAAATGGGGACCAGAGATTTTTCCAAGGAAGGAAAAACCTAACCTCCATCATCACTAAACCTGCAGTTCTACCATCAACATCACACGGATGGGAGTTGCATTTTGTAAAAAGCACATCCTATGAAGTTTGGCCAGGGTTAGAGGGACCCATCCTTTGTCCACCTCGATGCGTTCTCAGAGCAGGGAGAAGAGTCTACAACACGAAGTGTTGTACGGAACAAAATTAACACACACACACACACCCAAAAAAGACTTGGAGGAATACTTTTTTAAAAGTTGAAACTTTGCTTGCTCCAGGGCTAAGAGTTTAGAGACTCGAGCTAAGGCTGTTAGGTCAAGTCCTTTGAACCGTCTCCTCTTCCCTCCTATTGTAACCCTTCCTCGTATTTGCTAACTGGAAACTGTTGGATCCATTTAAAAAAATTGAAACATGGGCAGTGAAAGGCTTCCTCTTTGTTAGACCTACACGAGGCTGGTGGTGCCATCGTTTCTGGAAGGTAAGCAGACACGGGTCTCTTCGTCATGCCCAATAAAGATTATGTCATATCCTCCCACTGGAAAAAGGGTAGCCCACATTTTCATGGACTTTGACTGCATCAGGATTGTCCCTCTGGGGCCGGGCAGGATCCATGCTTCATCCAGCAAGGGTCAGCCTGATGCCCTTAGGATGCATAAAGGCTGTGGATGGTGTTGATGGGCACAATCCCATTCAGAGATTTGAGGAACCGCTGTCTGACAGAGACTTGCCATTCCCTGGGCACAGCTAACAGCCATTTCTCTCTCTCTCTCTCTCTTCCTCCCTCTCACAGCCCAAACCACAAAACGCCATCACCATCGCAGTGTCATCCCGAGCGCTCTTCCGCATGGAAGAAGAGCAGAAGATTTACAACGAGCAGGGCGTGGAGGCCTACGTGAAATACCAGCTGGATCATGAGAACGAGCCTTTCCTACCGGGAGCTGCCTTCCCCTTTGTTAAGGTCAGTTCCTTCTTTTTCACTTTTTTTTCCAGCTCCAGATGAAAGCATCTGGGTGCACATTGGCACTGATGAATCATTTAGCTCCACTGGAGGGACCTCCTTGAATTATTCAGTGGACTCTGCCCAGCTGCAGTTTTCTTGTTGCTATCACGTCTCTTCCAATTTACAAGGGTTTTTGAGGCACCTGGGAATGTCTGGTTTTCCACTGGCCTCTGCCGATGAGTTCCCATGGCTGACCGGGGATTCGAATCCAGGTCTCCTAAGACCCAGTCTGGCACTCCATCCCCTGCAGCTCCCTGGCGTCCGTTACAATTTAGCCACTGCCATATTCTTGCAAGCACCAAATTTAATGTAATTAAAGGCTCGTTAAAAAGAAATAAGTCAGGCAAGTTGGGACAGGAAGGGCATGGCAGTTGGGATCACCACGCAAGTGTTCCAGTCCTGGATTTGCACAAGAGGAGACCAGAAAAATCATTGAAGAAGTCGAAACAAGGCCAAAAAGGAAACTCGGGTCATGCCGGTGACACAGGCCAGGTGGAGGCGCAGAACACTCTGGCGCCTTTTGCTAAGAGTGCCACAGAAATGGCCACAAGGTTTCCGTGAGAACCACAGGGGGTAACCGTCGCCACAAACACACACACACACACCGTGTGATGGGTTTGCATTTCTCACGTGATTGTGCTCGGAGTGCTCCAGGGCTGCTATGATCCCATCTTGGGGGAAAGCGGGCACAACCAGGGGCAAGGGGCTTCGTAGGAAACGGCTGCTTTCTGCTGGGACAGGTGGGGGCCATTTGGCGCACTTCCCTCTTGGCCCACCGTTGGTCAAGGAGGGGGTGGCCAGATGGCACTCCGCCCGATGGTTTGGCCACGTTGGACTCTTATTACAGGCCTTGGAGGCTGTCAATGCGCAGCTGCGGGAGCTCTATCCGGACAGCGAGGAGCTCTTCGACATCGTCCTGGTGACAAACCACCATGCTCAAGTGGGAGTGCGCTTGATCAACAGCATCAATCATTACAGTAAGCAACTGGAAAGAACCACACTTGACTCAAAAGCTTGCCAAAAGCTGTGGAGTCCAAATATTTCCGAGCGGTGCTTCAGGTTTATCATGGTTTCGCACTCATTTAACTCTCATGAGTCCTTCTTCCCCCAAGACTCCTGGGTGAGGGTGGCTTTGGGTGATGGGAGGAATCATATGTGGCGTTGAGGAAAAGCCTCGACAACACATTCAGAGTTGGAAGCACTGCTCCCTTAAAGGAGAAAAGACATTTCTTGATCCCAGCTCATGTCACTTTGTTCTTCTGCACTTTGCTTTGTGGTTAGCCCCTGGAAGATAGTAAATACTGGCTTAATTTATGGCGAGACTGCCCAGGCAGCCAGGACTGCAGCTGGAAAACAACTGTGCTAATAGCAAGAAATAGACCCCCCCACACACACACACACCCTTAATGTTGAGCTTGATCCTCAAACAAGTTTGCATTTGTAACGTACTGCAAGAATATTCTCCCAATAGTAAAGGCCAGCACTGGACACGCAGAGAGCAAGAGAGGGAAGAGAAAGGATGGGTCGCAGGGATCAAAGTGCAAAGGGAGTTGCGATTCTCTTCTCTCTGCCCACTCCATTCCTCTGGCCCCCGTCAGGATGATTATTGGGGACGGATAAGGGTTTGCACTTCCCGGTCCACACCCCGCAGGCGGTTGTTTGTGTGCTGCCTGCCTTTGACAGCAAAGCCTTGGAGGTCCCAAGGAGGCAGAACTCAACAGCAAAATGACCCACCCAGATGTGACATTTTTGGCAAGGACAGGGAGGAAGGCAGGTTCCCCTCTGGCCAGGTGTCCTTCCACAGGGACAAGGACCCTGCCTCTCTCTCCTTTCCCCTTCTAGATCTCTTTGTCGAGAGGTTTTGCATGACGGGAGGGAACAGCCCCATCGACTACCTAAAAGCCTACCACACCAACCTCTACCTGTCGTCGGACTCCGAGAAAGTGAGGGAGGCCATCGAAGAGGGTGAGTGAGGCTCTGTTGGGAGGGTGACCTTCTGGAGGGGGGGAGGCTAGTGATGGCGGCGGCACCTCGTCTCCTGGCCAGAAAGACAAGCTGTCTTAAGTCTGCTTTTGGGAAGGAAGCAGGAGATGCCCTCTGTGCACCTGGGGGGTCCTTCAAGAGGCCTGGCTTATAGAGGTGCCCTCACTTCGCTCCACCCTCTGACAGGTCTCCGGAGGCTCCTCCAAGTGGGTGGCAGAGGTTCCCCCTTGGGCGGCTGAGGCTTGTGCTTCGTTTGTGCTGGTCTTCACCCTGACTGTTTGCCTAGCTGGGAGGGCCATCCATTTGGCCTTTGGGAATCTCATCCGTGGGCATGAAAGCCCAGGCGGAAGCCCTCGGTTGATTTCCCGTCTTGCAAGCAGCGTGGTGGATACAAGAGGAGTCGCGTCCGGCGCTCCCCCTGACCCCTTTTCTTCTCCTTCCACAAGGGATCGCCGCTGCCACCATTTTCAGCCCAAACAGGGACGTGACCATCTCGGAGGACCAGCTGCGGGTGGCGTTCGATGGGGACGCCGTGCTCTTCTCCGATGAGTCCGAGCAGATTGTGAAAGCTCACGGCCTCGACAAGTTCTTTGAGCACGAGAAGGCCTATGAGAACAAGCCCCTGGCTCAGGTTGGGTTGCAAACGCCTGGGAAATGGGGTTCTGTGCATCTCCCCGGTTTGGTTTTGAGCCCTGGCATATTTTGATAGGCAAGGAGTCCCTGCGGAGGATTTGATTCCACTTTCCCACCCTACCCCACCCACCCAAGACCATGCCATTTTGGACTAACTATAATGCAGAGACAGTTTGTTCTCTAGTGTGGGCTCCAGAAAAAAGCACCAGGTGGGGAGTGGGCGAGGTACCCCCGCTGACGGTCTCTCTTTCCCTGTCCAGGGGCCCCTGAAGGGTTTCTTGGAAGCCCTTGGGAAGCTGCAGAAGAAGTTCTACACCAAAGGCCTGCGGCTGGAGTGCCCCATTCGCACCTACCTGGTCACAGCCCGGAGCGCCGCCAGTTCGGGCGCCCGTGCCCTCAAGACTCTCCGGAGCTGGGGGCTCGAAACCGATGAAGCCCTCTTTCTAGCCGGGGGGCCCAAGGGCCCCTTGCTGGAGAAGATCCGCCCGCACATCTTCTTTGATGACCAGATGTTCCACGTGGAAGGGGCGAAGGAGCTGGGGACCATCGCGGCCCACGTCCCTTACGGGGTGGCCCAGAAGCACCGGCGCTCCGCTCGGGGAAAAGAGTCTTCGGACCACAAGTAGCGTCCAGGGATGGCACTGGGCTAGAAGCTGCTTCCTGTGGGGGGTGGGGATGAAGAGCAGAGCACACCTGGCTTCCTGCCATCCAGAGGCCGGTGGCTTGTCCGGGGAGGTGGCCTGGGAGAAGCCAGGTCCTGCCTGTTTGAAGAGCAGAGTGCACCTGGCTTTCTGCCATCCAGAGGCTGGTGGCTTGTCCGGGGAGGTGGTCTGGGAGAAGCCAGGACCTGCTGCACTTTATCAGAGCCCCTTCCTTCCCACTCCTCTGGGCCCACATTTGGCCTCCATCCCGGGCAGAATCTGTTGGTGTTTCTTGGCTGCAACCCTGCTTGTACGCTCACCATGCTTCCCGGCTGGCAAATCCGTGATCCTTTCCCCTCCCCCCTCTCTGTCCAGAACATACAGGAGTGGTACGGTTTTTCTCACCGCATGTAACAAAGGGGCGGCGTGCACATCTTGTTTTTACAATGATCACGGCACAAACAAATTGTCCGTTCATTTTAAGTGCACTGCACCCACCTGCTTTCCACATTTACTTGGAATCTGGATAGCTCGGTGGTTTAGGCATCTGTCTGTGGAGCCAAAGGTTGGGAGTTCAATTTCCTATAGTGCCTCCTTGACAGGGGCTGGACTGGATGATGCAGAGGGCCCCTTCCAGCCCTGCAGTTCTAAGAGAGTGATGTTTTATCTTTCATTTCTAGGTCTTGAATTGAAAAGCTCCATTTTGAGCTGTTTTGGCTGCAGAGATTAGCCTGAAAACATGCACCTAATACTTTTGGCATAGAAGAGCCTCATGGGCACAATAGTTAAACTGCAGTACTGCAGTGAAGACTCTGCTCACAACCTGAGTCCGATCCCGATAGGCTCAGCTCAAGGTTGACTCAGCCTTCCATCCTTCCAAGGTTGGTAAAATGATTACCCAGTTTGCTGGAGGGTGGGCAGTGTGTAGCCTGCATAATTAAATTGTAAACTGCCCAGAGAGTGCATTATCTACCACGGGGTGGTAGATAAGCAGCACACTTTTGATCATCTTTCCAGAACCAGGAGTCTCAGGAAGCAATCCCATCCATGCCTGGCCAAAAAGGAGGGAACACCCCTCCTCTGATCTTGCCATGTTTGTGTCTCAAAAAGCCACCCAAAATGTCAGAGGCACTAGAAGAAAATTTCACACTGCCCCTCTGGGCACACTGCCCGAGAGACCCCCAAATCCCAAAGCTGGCATTCGCAAACAAAAGGGACTGAGAACGCCTGACGAGTGGAAGAGAAAAGATAGGGAAGGAAAGCTGTGTAGAGCAGCAGATGGGGGCTGTGCCAAGGCCACGGAGGCCCAAGTTCAAATCCGCACTGAGCCCCAAAACTCACAAGGGGGCACAGAAAAATATTTTCCCCCTTGATTGGCCTACGTGGTCACTTTGTTGTGTGGATAATTTAGGTCACTCACTTTTCCATCCTGTTTCCCCACTCTTCTGATTCTCATGGCAAAAGTAAAGCATATATATATTTATTTATTAAACAAAAACCCACACACCACACTCTGACCTTTACATTTCAACTTTTCTCCTAAACCACCACATATAAGCAACAATGCACTAACGTTTGTCTCTTCTTGTGGATGTTTTCTCTGTAATAAACTCTGTTTCTTACCACTCGTGACTCTTTTGGGAATACCACTCTAGTTTGGAAGCAAGTTGTTGTGCTCTTAAATATTAAGGTGAGAAGCTTGAGGAGCGAGCCGGACAAAGAAATGATAGAGGACAGCAAGAGGTCTTTCTGGGATGGCACCCGTTTTCTTTCTCTGTAAAACTTTGCTATCATACTGGTTAATAAAGAGTCGCATCTGGATGCCAACGTTACTGCAGAAGAGATACCAGTCTTCTGACCCCATAGCTACACCCGACTGATGCTGGAAAGGACAAGGGGACATATAGATATATATTTATATATTTTTAAAAAAGCTCACACACCACACTTTTACATTTCGACTTTTCTCCTAAACCACCACAGATAAGAGCTGTAGCTGGTCATTTTGGCACCTGGGGCAAAGGGTACCCACTATCGCACTCACTCTGCTCTGATACTGGGTCTAAGTTGTGGGACAGAGGTGGAGAACGATGGAGGCCCCTCCAACAGAAAGAGAAAGCGTATGTTCAAAAAAGAAAAAGAAAAAATCCAGGAAGGGCAGGCAGGGAGGAGAATGAATAGGCTCTCCGGGGATGTTGTTTATCTTCCTAACACCCACCTGTAGATTTCTTTCTAGGTTTTGGAGCCCTCTAAGATTTGGCAACATGGGACAAAAGCCCCCAGCTGCTCTGCTTTGGCCACAGGTCTGTCTGTAACACGGATCTCAATTGACAAAGAGCTCAGTGGTTTAAGGATCGGGTTCTGGAGCCAGAGGTTGGGAGTTTGAATCCCCACAGGGCCAGCCTGTGTCGCCTTGGGCAAGCTGCGCCGTTCCAGAGATTCCCGCCCCGCCCCACCCAGAAAAAGGAAAGGGTAAACCGGCCTGTGTCGCCTTGGGCAAGCTGCACCGTTCCAGAGATTCCCGCCCCGCCCCCACCCAGAAGAAGGAACGGGTAAACCATTTCTCAGTTCTCTACCTGGACAACCTTGGAAAAAGTTGCCATCGGTCAGAATTGACTTGGTGGCCCATGATTATTACGAAACTGGTGCAACGGCCCTTCACTTACCTTCCGGGTTGCCAGGCTCATTGCACTCCACCCTTGGAGAGGCTGGGTCCAGCACGGAGATCCAGAGAGTTGCCACCAGAACCTGCTTCAAAGGGGCCAAATGCCGGGACCCGGCAACCTGTGGGGGATGCCAGGGCCACGGTCATCCTGGAAGGGCCACGGCCGGCACACCGCACAAATGGATTCTCAGGGGTGACCCTTCACCAAAGGACGCGTTGGAAGATCCTTCAAAGTCGGCCCTTCAAAGGGTGGCCTTGAAAGAGTGGCAGGGTCGGATTGGGTATCCCATGAGCCCAGGCGATGGGCAAGGGAGGTTTCTTGAGGGGGAGGGAGGTTCAAGGTTGGCCCACGAGGAAAAGATGGAGATTATATAACTCAACAGAAGGAGGATGCAGAAGCGTCTGCCTGTTCAGGACTTGGACCAGGGAAGTTCCACGAAGACCGTTTGCATCGCCCACCACAAGGGACCTTCCATGGCCCTACGTAACACGGGAGATGGTGTTGCTGGGGTCCAACAGACTGACCACTACTACACCACGCTGTCATTTATAGATTGTGGAGTGAAATGCAGTCAGAGCGAGGAAGACGCATTTCTGCCTTTCTCTGGTCTTGTGTTCTGGCTGCCACTGGGCACTCAAACCTGAATTTCCCGGGTCCAACATACTAACCACTGCTACACCACGCTGTCATTTATACAGCAAAGGGACGCACCAGCCAGAAGAACCCCTTTCAGCAGCCCTTCCTCCCAAGGGGAGGAGGGAGACGGACGGCTTGGGCAGTGACCCTTGCTCTGACAGCTGGACGTTCTCCGCCTGCCTACCGCTATTTCTGGCTGGGCCGCCTGCCAGTGATTCCTTTCAGGCAGATGTCTGGAGAGCCAGAGTTTTTTGCAGGCCATGCCCGGCGTTTCTTTGCCCGTGGCCACCTCTGCTGCCGTTCATCATTGTTGCCCCAGGAAAGGAAGGAGCGAGTCTGGACTAGGCTTTGGAGGAAGCAGAGGTGAAGGGAAGGGATGTAGAAGGAACCCCACTGGCACTGGAAACGGAGGCTGACTTTGAGGGTGAGGACAGGAGCAGCCTGCCTGACGTCCTGTGCCGTCTCTGGGGGCCTCATTCCTCTGCTTCTGACGCTGCCCACTATTTATAGATGAACTGACACATGCCTTTGCCATTGGATGCAGGGGCATCTGATAAAAATGCCATGCAGGACGCCTGTAAGGAAAGCGGGGCTTCTCCAAAGCAAGGAAACTCCAAAGCGCCTTCGGCTCCGAGGAGGAGACCTTCAGCCTTTCTTTCCCAGGGAAACAACCCCAGCAGGCGTTACTTATTGCTGGGCTGCAGGGGACCCTTCGTGGCTCAGCCCCGCCAGGGGAGGTCGGCTCCCAGGTGCGCTCCCCTTCTGTAGACGGATCAGGAACGTTCTTCCATGGAGAGCTTCTGAATGAAGTGGGCAAAGGGGACCAACTTCTCTGACAAAGTTCCCTCCCTGGGGAGGTTTCGCTGGCACCTCCCTTATCATCATCCTTTGGATTCCAAAACAAAAACCTCTTTATTTCCCCCACGATTTTAAGATGCAATTCTAGTCTCACTGATATTTTTATACTCCTGTCATGATTTGGAGGCTCTTCGCTTGCTGATTATGATAATGATCAACCTTCTTTTCTTTTTAAAAAAAAAAAACAAGGGAAATTTAGGATTAAAAGCTAAGGTTGCTCTTTTTTCCTGGGCTTATTCTGAGAAATCTAGAGAATTCATCTCTAGAATGCAGCAACATTCTTAAGTATAAAACTGTTGGAAGCGGCCTTGGGTCGTTTTCAAGGAGAAAGGCGGGGTAAAAATATTTCAAATAAAATAAAACAGAGGAGCAAAACACATTTTGAGAGTTAAAACCCTCCAGAGAGAGAGAGAGAGAGAGAGAGAAAACCATGTGAATGTATCACATATATTCTAAAAAAATGCCTATAAAGGCGTAGAATGCAACAAAACTGTAAGAAGCTTCGGGTCCTTTTCAGGGAGAAAAGCCGGGTACAAATATTTTAAAGAAATGAAATGAAATGAAAAAGAACTTTCCCCCGCGGGTTCGCTCCTCCGGCCTGGAGGGGGCGCTCGAGAGCAACCCTCCCGCCACCTGCGGGGCCGCTCTGCCCTTCCCCGCTCCCTCTCCCTGCCCCCCCCCACTTCCGCCTGCCGAGCGGCTTCCTTCCGGCCGGAGGCCCA